TTTTTAATAAGGTAGAGCTTTATATACCTTTAATTACTATTATTAGTGTCTTTAGGTCCTATAAGCCTAAGCTAGTTAGATATAAGTTAACTAGTGTTAGTGTCTTTAGCTTAAAATCTAGGCAAAAAATAATAACTTTAGGATTAAAAGGTATAAGACTAGCCTATTAAAAACCTACTTATATATTTATTTTTCCTATTAAAGTAAAGAATACTACTTTAAAGGTAAAAAAAAGTTATCTTTAGTAATATATATAATTTATATCTATATTATTTTCTTAATTTCCTTGCTATATAAGTACTTTAAAGGGCTAAAATAGCTAATATTAAGAGGCTAAAGCTTATATAATAAATAAAGAGGTATATATAAAGTAATAATACCTTCTTTTTTATAGTAGTTATTAAATTTAGTTAATTTATAGCTATTATAGCTATCTAGGATTAGAAGGTAATAAGTACCTTTTATATAAGACTTTATATACTAATTAAAGTACTTTAGCTAATCTAGGCTAATCTTGTTTATAGTTTATTTATTTTTACTTAAGTAAATACACTATATAGCTAGAAATTTACTATTAAGGTACTATAATAGAAGGTAATATTTACCTTTTATAATAACATATAAAGGTATTACCTAGCTATCTATATATACACCCTAAATAATAAAAACCTATTTATAATTACTAGGCTACTTTATATAAGGCCTTTTATATTAGTTAGAAGTTATAATAACCTTTGTGTATAATAGTATTCCTATTAGGAACCTAGTGTTATTAAAATTATAGATATTATAATCCTATATCTTATACTTTATAATTATGTTTTATATAAGTGTAAACTAGCCTTATATAATTATAGGATCCTTAGCTAAGGCCCTCTAATAGTTAATCTAACGTTAAAATTATATTTTTAATTAAGGTTGTTGTTATATAAAGTTCTCTACCTATTAAGGTCTAATATATATCCTATTATATATATTAAGAAGTTAATTAGCTATATCTTATATATCTTCTTATTATAGAGGAAATCCTTAATTAATTAGGTTAATAACCTTTTTAAGAATTACCTCCTCTTTAGATATAGTTATCTTTATTAATTTTAAATATATCTTAGCTTATATAACTTTTCTAGTGCGTTAATAACAGAGTGTAGTTTTAGGTATATTATAGATAAAGGCTACCTTTTATATAGATAGATTTTAGTCTTTTTAGATAGCTATAATTATAAGGATAATTTAGCTTTCTTAAGAAGAGGATTCTATTGTTGTACATAGAGAAAGGTTAATATAAGGATAAAGCTAGTAGAAATAAGGTAGACGTATACTACTTACTATAATACGCTACTTACTATATATATACGTTATAAATACTATAAGATTTTTAAAATATAATAGATTTATAGTAGTAATAACCTAGTAAATAGATTTATAAAGTTATTACTAAATAATATATTAGAGAAGCTAGTTAGTAATAAGTAGTTAAAGATATAAATAAATAAATAGGTTTTTTATATATAATAGACTATATAAGTAAAAAGTATTAAATACTTTTTAGCTTTTTATTTTTATTATATTTTTTAGTTATTCTTTTAAATATAAATAATAAGGGATTTTTAGTAGTATAGAAAGTTACTAGTATTATAATATTAGCTATTATAAATAAATATTAAAGTTATTAGATTAACCTTAATAACTTATTACTAGTAAATCCTTAGATATTTAGCTATAGATTCTCTAAGGATTTATAGGTAATAAGTTAGTTATTTAACTAACTAACCTATAATAATTATCCTTTTTTTCTTTATATATAATAGAGAACTACAGTTACCCCTATTATTTATTAATTACTACTAATATATATAGTTAACTATATTAACCTATCCCTTGGTGTTACTAACAGTAAGATATACATATATGATGCTAATTATTGTGAAAGCTACAGAAATAACGGCCGTTGTAGAGACTGTAATGATTGTTAGTTTTTTGACTTGGAAGAACTCCCTATGATGGAGTAATACATGGTGGTTTAGTGAGTAGCCTTGAGACCAGAAGTTTAATCTTGATGCGCACTCTCCATTCTTAGTAACACCTAATTTCATTCCCAATTCTCTTGATGAGCCATCGCGTTTTCAGGATTACTTGATCTAACTAATCTTTGCTAGAAGTTATACAACGGGGTCTGCTAAGCTAGGATTGGGTGCCTTGTACATCGTACTACTTAGAGCATCAAGGACTAAAATCTCTTTCAGGGATTACGCAACTCGACTCCTCTCTATTCGCTGAGGTAATCACTTCTTTATGCTTTGAATTATTGACCGTTACTATTAAATATATAATTAAATTGGGGCTTAATGGTATTAACCAAACTAATTTGTATATCTAGGTTATCTTATACGTATCTTACGCCTTAGTACTTGTTGTGCTGTTGCCTACTAGGACCTGAAGTGTCTGAGATCGCTGACGGCCAAGCAGTTTTTCTACGCGTTCTTCAGGAACATTTCGTAACACGACGTGAATATGCTCCAGGGCCTTGACGCTTTGCGATTCCGTCTTCTGCTTGAACCACAGTAGGTCCTCGCCCCTGCGGCAGCCCAGCGTCTGTCCGAACACCCGGTCTAGAAAGCTCTCAACCAGTCGGGTAGAGTGCTCCGTTGGCAGCCCCGTTTCTGGGTCCACTGTTATTCCGCTCTTGGACCATACGACCAAGTGCATCATCCCATGGGCTAAATGGTATGGCCAGTCATTCCAGATCACCGTCCAGTCATCCGCGTGCGCAAACGGCTCGGCGTTACGAGCGACAATTGGCTCCGGCCAGTGCAGCCTCTCGCGGCGAACATATTGGACCACGGAGCCGTACGTCTTGCTAACCTCAGCGTGCCACAACATGTAGTTACGCAAGTCCCGAGGCGATCTTCTGAGCCGTCCCGTTTCCCCGGCAGCTTGAGTAATAGGAAGCAGAGTTAGCGGGGACACGGGTTAGGCGCAATGTACAAGGTTGACGCAGCTCACCGATGGCTCCCTTGACTTCTTCCCAACTTTGAGGCTCTGACTCCTCGGACCCGTCTCGTAAAGCCTTGATATCCTTGTCCGAGAGCTTGACCGGAGCGTTCTTGATGAGGGTTTCGACATCCATAGTGGCGGTAGTTTGTTCAACTGTGACCATTATAAGTTGCCTAACATGCAAATTTGTCACGCGGTGAGGTACGGGTGACGACTGTGTGAAATAAACCGTTTAGTCCTGTTATCTATTGTTGCGAAGCGAAGTCCCCTCATATATGCAGTTCCGCGTGAAGTGCCTCGGGTTAACGTAGGCCCGGTGATTGTGGAGCTGGCCACAGGACCTGGACATTGCTTATATAGATGGCATGCACGCGGATCTATCACTAACCCAGATTTGTCTTACAGCCTATACGAGTTCTGGGTAGTATTGCGTCGACCGGTACTATGTAATCACGAAGCCTCGGCTGCGTTCCATCCGGGCCCGACTTTTTACAATTCAAACTCAAAATGTCTGATGAATGGTGCATTTGGCCCACTGGCACCCGCACAGTACTCACAGCGTCAACAAGTGATGTGAGCGCACGCCAAACGAGGCTGGCATGGACAACCTGAATGCTAGATGCAGTGTTGAATTATATCAATGATGCCGCTAGCCACGTAATGAAAGGGGCGCAGGAGTGGTAAATACAGTCTGTCTAGGTTTCTTCTTCTTTTGGTTGCGAACGATGGCGAGGTCGCAAGTTGATATCCGACCGAGTGGACCTGCAATATGTCGGCATAGGGCTGTTTCATGCCGTTGGTATTTAAGCTGGTCCTCAACAATGACGAGGCCAGCAAGCCGCTGTTGCCATAAAGTGGAAGACCCATTCTCGGGTTTGCGTAAAACCTGTGCAAGGCTTGAGTATAGTCAATGCTCATAAGACAATAGTGATAAGGGTGAAGCGACAGACAGAGGCCGGGCCAGCGCGATGTGGCTTGGGCGCCACCCTCATGGGCTGTCCGTTGATAGACTGAACTTGATGCCTCGGACACTCCATCACAGTCACCACTGCCGTAGAAGCGCGCCAGACCAGCGGGCCTTTGTCTCATGATAGAACTTTTCTAGCGGCTTGTGCCCATCGGAGTTTGCTGCTGGACGCCTGGATGATGCCATGATCGTCGTACAGGATCTCTGATACGAGACGCTCCTACTTCCGGGGGGCCATAACGAGCGATTTATTGCATTACTTGGCGAGCTCAAGAGACGAGCCGCAACGAAATGGTAGTCGTCCATATTCAAGCTCTAAACCTTTTTGACCCCGTCCGCAGCGTCATGACGCCAACACAGAGACAATGTTTCGGCAAGGGAAACGAATCTCCAGAAATTATATTCAGCCAATGTGCAGATAGAACGGCGGATGCTAGGGGCGGTTCTGCGCCGGTGGACTCCCAGCCCCTCAAGCTACACGGCGTGCTTGTTATAGTGAACGCAGTCGCAGCGACTCCTACACCCCAAAACTTACTCCTCCAGACGTCTTCGGTCCGCGTACATGGACCACCATAGAGAGAATGTGCGCTGAGGACGATTGCATTTGATATGCCTGCAGTAAGGGATTCCGCGGCTTAGGTATCGGGAGTATATTTCGTGCGGCCATCCAGAGCATGTCTAGCTCGATGCATTAGGCTGACCATCCTGATGCCAGCGGAAACGACCAGCAGCGCATATTCCTCTTCGGCTGCAATGACTATATCGTCGCAAGTAGCTTGGCTTCGCTGTGCGCCATGCAGGATCCGGATTGGTCTTGGCCGCCCTACGCTGTATACACCACAATCGAACTCTTTCGTTATATCGCAAAAGGATTTTAGGCTTCTAGTCTCACAGACAAGTTAAAGAGTTGCTCCTGATTCGTACCTCTGAACTAATACCAAGACAAGCCTGTGATTCTGCCGTGCTGCGCCGAAGAAGGCAGGCGTCTGCCTAGTCTTGAGCGTGTATACATTTGTAAATGGCTTGATTTGGTAAGTAGCTAGAATAGTTTCAATTAATGGTCGCTGTAGTGTAGATTCGTAGGAATGTTATCATTAAAGCACCTACGAAGAGTAGCGCTCCTCTCATTCCCTATCAACTTACCGTGAAATTTCCAGTGTATCGCAGAACTCTCGTTCGCAAGAGATAGATTAGCGCTAGAAAGGCAGACGTTGCTTTGTGGTCTAACTTGTGGCTCTCGTGTCTTTTTCCCTGCAGCAGAGAAAGATCGATGTTGGAGTCAGGGGATGAGGCTGCAGTCACTTGTAGAAACTGGCTGATGGATCAGCATGCGAAGTCGTTTAGGCTCTATCTAATCTGCCATTAAACTTGGGCAATATAAATAGTTATTTCACGTATCAGGTTGTCAAGTCTTTCATCAATAAGAGGAGCTGAATATATGTCTACATGAATCTGACAGACTCCGCTTTCTCGTGCGCATATGGTACACTTGGTGTTTTCCAGTGTGGGGTTGATTCCGACTCTCCCTCAAATCTGTCAACAGGTCTCAATATAGTTAGTGTTTTGTTGTCAAACGAGCTTCCGTTGAAACTCCGGAACCACTCCCCTTCGGGGTCCAGATAATCACTCAAAACCTGCTTCCATCCATTCCAGACAGTGACAAGGAGATCCAGAACGTGATGTGCGCCTCTCATCTCACCCCACTGAAAGCGCTTCTTGCAATCATCAACAACACTCTGAAGGTAGAGACCTACACCCTCAGTGAGAGCGTAAGCGTTCACACCCGTAAGGCTGGCGTGAGAGTAGTAGCTTCCTCCCTCAACCGCACGCCGCTTCAAACCAAGCATGGCACCGACAGCGCCCAAAACACCAGTTGACATGTCGGAAATAGGTAAACTGGGCAATACAGCCTCGTTTGGGCAGGTTTAGCGACTTTCCTGTAACATAGGCTGATCCAGAAGCAGCATCGGCAATCTGCTGCCAGCCAGGTCGCTCCGCATAATATCCGTCGGGGCCGTAGCAGTTTTCGCTCACATGAACAATGCCTCGACCGCGCTCGCCAGCCATTTTCAAAAGATCGTCAAGTCCGAGACCAAACTTGGGCATCTTATTGAGACGGAATCCCTGGATGAAGACGTCGCACTCAGACACGAGAGACTTCAGCAACCCTTCATCCTTCTTGTTTCGAAGATCTATCGCGATTGTACGCTTGCCTGCATTGAGAGAAAGTTGCATGATCATTGATATTGATGTCAGGTAAATGAGGAGGATTGATGCGGATCACATCTGCACCATATGCTACCAAAATGGTTCCGAATTCTGGGTCAGCAATGACCCTGATCATTTCAATGACCTTGACTCCAGACAAAGGTCGCTTGTCATTGGGATTTAGGGATGGGAAAGCAACGGGCGGAGTGGGAACCGTCTGGTCTTGCTTTTTGACATTGTCCAAGGGATGTTTGGCAAGAGAGCGACCCATTTCAGACTCGCGCCACTGCTCCGGAGTGAACAGATGCTGCCGCATAGCCCGTTGAGGAGGTTTGTCATTTCCATTTTCTCGGGGCTCAGTCTGATAGTATGCCGAGCAATGTGCGCAGCAGCCTCGTCGTTGGACTTAATCAGAGTTAAGGGGTCAACTCCAATGGACCGCAAGACCGGCTCAGCGTTCATGCTACCATGGAGGGAATACCATACGTCGGGATTGTTCGTCGGGTATAGTCCAGTAGTGCGATACTTGAGGGCAGTGTCTGTCCAGCCTTGCTCCCAGTCAGGCAAAAGGCCTTTGAGCTTGCCCTGCCTAGTAAGGCTGATAACATCAACCCCATCGAGAAAGGCGGTCGCGATACAGCCGAACCATATCGCTGTATGTGTGGTGTTGACTGTGATTTGCCGCTTATCATTCTTCACACCGCGGATGGCCAAAATTTCGTCGGCAAGCACGCCGGTCATTGCGTGAAGAGAAGCGGCAACAGAGACGGTTTTGATCGGACCAGGGATCACAGGGTATTCCTCTCCAGTGAATTTGACCTTAGAAAGCAAGCACTCATCTTGCGTGAAGCCAGAAGTCTGGCCTATAATGAGACGGAAGATACGCTGAGTGTCTTCAGATACTAGCGTGAATGTTTTATCGGTGAACGTGCCTGGTCCGTAAACGTTAGGAATCTTGTCGGAGGCCATGGAGGTCGTTTAATCTCAAGAAATTTGACTCAACGCGATGATAGTGATAATTGCAAATTTAATGCTATGAAGGATGTCTCTTTAAGACGCCTATGAAGAAGGAAAATAACTGCGAACAAAGGGACAATTAGATAGTTTAAATGTTCATGAGATGGATGAAAAGGCCGGATGTTTGGGTAAGACACCAAGTGCGTTTCAAGGTGGGAACGGAGAAAGGACGAAGGTATTTCGGTGACTGGCGCGGAACCGAATGAAGAAGTATCGGGGTGTTTAGTTGGTAGGGGGGTATTCCAGCTTCGGGGGGGGGGTGTCTGGCCAGTGGGGCAAAAGTTCAGGGGGGGGATAAGCCTTAAGCACCGTGTAAATTAAAAACAACTAACCAAAGTACACTTAGTATATACCTCGTATATACTTTAAAATATAGGATCTACCTTCTATAACTATAGAGGACTTAGCTCTAAGTCTTCTAACTAAGTCTTCTATAGTTATAGAAGGTAAGCACTATATCCTTAGATATATGCTCAGTATATACTTAGTATATACTAAAGCTCTTGCACTCCTCACACTCTAAGCTAAGCCTAAATAAGCCTTGTAACCCTAACCCTGGCTACTTTACCCCCCCCCCCCCCCCCCTCCCCCCCCGAAGCTGGAATACCCCCCTATGAACTGTCCTGCCGAAGTATCGTTGTCGGGAAAAGGAACTCTGTGGGCTATCAAGCGGCGCGAGATCCGATGGGTGTGGGTCCCACCACCGGAGTCAATGACGTTTGTTGGGCCAACCGACCGAAGACTCGGAAAATGCAACTTTTTCGCGTCGACAAGATCCGCTTTTGAGGCAAAAGTTTACGGGAACGCCGGCATTCCGAGTCCGAGAGTCATGATACCGGAATGGTTCCAATAACGAGGATAGATGATTCTGATCGAAACTGGCTGTAAACGACATGCTTCATCATCCGACTACTGTAGTACTAATACAGCATAATACCATCTAGAAGTTTTCTGGTTCGGGGTCGGTGGGGCGAAGAGAGCCAAGGTTTCATGCCCGGAAGTAGCCCATGAATGATAGCATCTGTTTTCCGCGCGGAGAATTGAAATTGATCTCCGTCTAAAGAGGTCCCGTTCCAGTCTCCACATTCAGCATCGTAGGGTGTTGTCCATCGGTGTCTAGTAGTAGAGGTTCTAGAGAGCATTATCGGCCCGACATTAGTGTTCGCGGAGGGAATTAAGGTTGATCCCCGTCCTAAGAAGGGCCCCGTTCCAATCACCACTTTCGGCATTGTGGGCTATTGCCCCTTCGGAGTCAGTATTCCATATTGTTCCGGTCAAGGACATGGATGTCTTGGGCAGAACCTTGTGCGCTGATCGCCGCTGTAGCACTGACGAGATGATCTTTCATAATCTGCAAAACCAGAGGAACAGGTACGCGTGTTGTTGCCTCATGCTATCGGAGCAAGTCTGTCCTGAAGTCAGTCAGTGTCTGGTCGTATTTTATCTAGTTGATTGACTCACAAACTCCATCCAAGGGACATTTTTCCAGCCTCGAACCTTCCGTTTTCGCTCTTCCCACACCCCTTCAAGAACCTCCATCATAGCCCTATGCCTCAACCCAGTTGACTTCCTTATCTCGTTAATGCATAGACTCGCATAGTGTATTCCATATTGAATAGATGTATCATTTGCAGCAAGAAACAATGGAAATAGCAACCGCTTAAAAAACGGAGATCAAATCGGCACGTTAGCACAACATTCCAATATGGCTAGAACTGAGGTTATGATTCTCTGATCTTCGCAGGGTATTGCAGATGTGTCTGGCCAGCGCATCGTTCTGAGGAGACAAGCTTGTCGGTATGCTTCCGCAAGCTGCTTCCATTCAGGATGTTGGGTTGGGTACTTGACCTTTCCCAAATCCATGCCACGGAGGAATGACTGTGAGTCTTTTAGCACGGTTTGAAAGTCGGCATTCGACAATTGACCCTCGAGGTGGCGTCTTGCCGCTGCAATCACAACTCCAATACAGTGGAATGTTTCGGGCGGATTGCCAACAAAAGTGTGCAAAGCATATTGTGGTTCAAATATGTCCGCGGCACATGAGCGAACCTCTTTTGGATAGGTGAGCTTCTCTGCGCCGCTGAAGCCCCTCAATACATTCAACCTAGAGTTTAAAATATTAGCAGTATTAGCGTACTAACGTCATATGTAGATCATACCAGGAGAGTGCGGCCAGGAAGAACATGATTGCTGCTGATATTTTCGATCTGGTGGAAGACGGAGCAACCCTCCCGCCGAGAAAATATACCCCAGTAAGATGAACGGCATGGGATGATATTCCCAATTCGCAAACTTGAAGAGTGGATTGAGTCTTGTGTAACACTGGAGAAATTGGAATAATCTCAAGCCAGAATATACTTAAACAGACTAAAGATGGTTGGTTGGTTTACTCACATCATGAAGGACTAACAACAAAATGATAGCAAGTACCACCTCGTCTTCTGTGATCGTTAGTCCCTGAATTTCTTCTTTGACAAGGAGCAAGCTAAGAACAGTCAAAGCCACAACTCGGTACTGTATAGCAGTCGCCATATCACCTTTAGCGATACCTGATGGTGCCAGGTGTAGATGGCAAGCAGAAAGTCCAAGAACGGCGTGAAGTACGCCAGAATGTTGGTATGCCAGTGGCAAAACGTGCTTTCGGAAGGGGTTCTCCACCCCATCAACCGCGATCGCTAAATGGGGGCTTAAATCCAGATCAACTATATTCGTTAAGTCAGGCCTAAAAGCGTGGAGTAAGATTGGGCAATGAGCTTATGGCCATAAACCTACAATAAACAAGCAGTTGTTGGCTGTTATCTGTAAGAAGTCCTTCCTCTACAGGATGGCTAATGGTTTGGACTCAAGACGGGAGACTGGACGAGCGGCGTTCAAGTGATAACACAAATGGCGCATCACGCCGCGGAGTCTGTGGCGAGACATGCCTACGGCTTGGGAGATCGAATGATGCCGCCAAGTCCTCGGCTGAACCTGAGGGTTTCTGAGTTGAGATTTGGGTAGGCTCGTGTGTGTGCAAGATCATAGCTTTGCCGGACTCCCTGGTTTGGTCATATAAGGTAGCGCCTGAGTTTGGTGAAGACATTGAATCGCAAAATTGAAATCGTGGGGGATAGCCTTCGCAATGAAAACCCTTCGACCTGCATCGATCGCAGACGGGACGAGTACGGTCACACTTGCGACACTTCTTTCGACGAGTTCCACAAGCTGGGTCTATGAATAACAGCGGGCAAAATTAGAGCTCCAGTTCAGGAATCAATAGGGATCGAACAGCCTTCGATGAGGCACATGAGTGTCGGCTATAGTGTCGTTCTATTCGAGGCCAAGAACCAGCGGCTGACTAGCAGCGCATTTAGCGAGACTAGAAAGGCAGGGGCCTACTAACCTTTTCTCACAGCTCTCGAGCCCCTTGCGGTGCCATTTTTCGTAGGCATTATGCAATATCTCTACAGATTCTGCAAGCAGAGTTGTCATCAACTTCGTGTGTATCTAGTCGAACAAGGGCTGGACGAGTTGAGGTTGAACAACAGTATTGGTGCCGAGGAAGCCATAAGGGTCAACATACACTAGTAGGGCCACGACGAAGGAATTTGAATTCCGCGTGACTAATGGCGTGCCTCATTAACTCCCAAACCACCCCTCTTTCCACTTCCGAAATGAGTCCAGGGACAACTAGACACGTCACCGATCAAGAGTCCAGTAGATCTTATTCTACGCTGTATAGATCATTTGCATTTACTGCGGATTCCTTCATAGACCCTGAATATTGTCGGTGGCTAATATTAACCACCCAGTAACGAAGTGGCGCTGTCTACATCTTGGCTTTGTATAAAATCGTTGTGAATATATTACGGTTTGATGGTCAATTCTACTCCCAAGACGTACTTACTATGCCGTGATAAATAAAATTCATTCCGACGGCTGGCTGACCTGAAAGCGAAATGCGTTTTCAGCAATCCGTCGGTCGGCCATCTCCCTTCAACTCGGGCCTCAACACGAAGATTGGATCCAACTGGTCGACGTATCCACAAGCTGGTTCGCTTATAGTATATCCCATAAGTTCCTGAAGAGGCCGACCGTACTGCTTTGCAACTTCTTGAGGAACTGAGAGAAACTGGTTTTCCTCCTGGCGCAGGAAGCCCCGGGTTGAAAATGTTGCAAACAGCAACCGCTCTTAGTCCTCCGTTGTATTGTGACCTCCAGCATGGTGGGCAGATGCTAGCATAATGAAAGCATCGCCTTTTTCCATCTCAGCATAGATGCAGTTCTCAACCCGAGGCGGCACGTCTCGATCGGTACCCCTGGCAAGTAAATGTAACAGTAAGTATGTCGATGCCAAATTCTCAGTGCAGAACATGGTCAACGAAACCACATGTCTTAAATTGTTGTTCTTCAAGGTTCTGACTTACTAAAGATGACTTCGAGGAATGAAATGAGTACCGCCATTCTCCTTGGTGACCCTACTCCCAGTCACAAATAATCCGACGGCTGTCTCTCGGTTCCTGTCCCCCACGTCGTCCCAGCCGTCTACTTCCTGGTGGTAGTTGTGGCCGATGTAATCATCTCGATGCAGAGGCTGAGCTTCACCGCCACGCCGGATTCTCATGGCTGTACATGAGTGGACGTAAGGTTTGGAAACCGACTCTTTTTTGTCATTTCCCCACCAGAACCAACTTCGGGTGGTCAAGAAGTGGCTACACACCTGTTGATAGACAGGATTCATTACCTGGGTCTTGGCATGGGTAGGGCTGAGGGCTAGTAGGGCTGACGCCCGCTGTGTCCGCTCTAGGGGTAAAGCACAACATCAGCGGTTCGTCCTATGCAATTCTGGTGTTTCCTGCTCTAGCACTATAAATGAGGGGACTAAGGTCAGTTTCCAATACATACTAGGGAAAAATGACCCATTTCATTCAACATCATTCTCTAGGCGTTCCCGGCATTCCTCGTAAGCTCTCTCAATGTCGGCGACAGGGACGAGATTTTGAGAAAGACACCGCCATCACGCTTGAGGAGGTAGAATGTGTTCTCTATGGGTGTGTCTGCGGGAACTTTCTGGACCTCAGGCCCGTACTTGGTCGGAATATTGGGCATAACGACGGACAGCCACAGACTGGCGCTGACTGTAGGTTCAGTTGAGTGCAGACCACGTGGTGTTGCAACTTGTTACGGTTGGAAAGAATGTGGTTATGCCCAGTAGGAGGCAAGAGAAATCAGGATTTCCGTTGTTTGCAGGCGCCTATGTCGGCTTTATATAAACAGCCACTTGAATATCTCAAAGTCCCGACCATTCCGCACTTTATAAACGTGCAGGAGGCATAAGCCGTAGGCTGGTAGGTGACATCGAAGGCTGTGTCGTCACACGCAAGAGGGGTCGGTGGTTGAGTCTACTTCCAAAAACGGCACAACAACGAGTTATTATTAATTGGTCTTACGAGCATCGCCGCCGCTGCTGCTGCTGCTTGTATGCAATCCAACTGAGGTACCTTTCCAAGGCGGGCCGAGCCCTCTCAAGGTCTCACAATGATAGTCTAACTCAGTTGGGGCATGTAGCCCATCGGATGTTTAGCAGAAGAGCGATCAAAATTCGAAACTGACGCAACGAATATTTTTGCCTTGGAACCGAAACATATCCATCAAAATTGGCTTCCTCACTGCTACAAATAAGACTCAAGGACCGCCTAGCGATAATATGCTTTTATGCGAAACTACTATTTGAACTCCTAGATGCCTCTTCGTGCGAGTAACATTGGGAAACATGCCATTTCTGGGGTATTATCTACAAGAGGTGCCCGCAGGCTACCTGCATCAACTCCTTCAACCGTTGGCAATCTCGTCTTCTTCGTCTTCCCATTCCCCAGTGTCTTCCATACCCTCATTGACCTCGTACTCGGCATCACCCTCAAGACCCTCGCTGTCAAACTCATCGTCATAGTCCATCTCTACGTCACTGTCATCGTCCGCAGCCTCGCCCTTCTCCGCTTTGGCTTTCCGCTTCTTCTCAATGTTTTCCCTCTGCTGTTTCTTACGGGCCTCCTTCTCCTGCTCCCTCTTCTCCCAGCGCTTCTCCAACTCCTTGACCTCCTCCTTGGTCTTGTGGATGTACTCATGCCACATGACCTTGCCAGCACACAAGCCTTCCTCAACCTTGGTCAAGCGCAAGCGCATACGCGGTCCCAGTTCTACCAGCTTGACGGCGCGCTTCTCCACGGCGTCGTCTTCATCCGCGGCTTCGTCGTCAACAGGAGCGGCGCTTTTCTTGATCTTTTGGGCCTTCTGCTCCTTGACCTCGACCTCGGCGTCGCTATCGATCTCGCTGCCACTCGTAGCGTCCGTGAGATATCCGTCGCCATTCTCCCCGCCTTGAAGGAAATCGGCAATATCCTCAAGCTTTCCGAGGTTCGGTATACCACCCTTCCCGTTCGTCTTTGAGGCCAATAGCTTCTCGGCCTTCTCAAGTCTCCGTAATGGTCTCGAGATACCCGTAGAGCGTGTGGTGATGGCGTAGTGCCGCAGGTTGATGATGAAAGACCCTTCATTATCAGGGTCCTTCTCTCGATTGAGTAGTAACGTTCGCTTGATCTTGCTGAGAGGGGTCGCATTCGGGTTCAAGGGAGGGAAGACGCTGGACCATACAGAGGTCACTAGAGATTCCAGGTGTTTGGGAATCTTGGAGGTTGCATCGGCATCGGGCGTATGGAAATTGTTCATGACCAGCTACAACAAGTTAGTAAGAGCTTAACACAAAAACGCACCAGGAAACTGTACCAATGGAGGTGCAAGCTGCTCCTTCCCGCTGCCTTTCGGGCGTCTTTGGGCCTTCTGAACATCCTTGCAGAGGGAGTACTTCTCAACGCGGAAATTCAACGTCGGACCGCGAGGCGTGAGGGCAACGCGCAGGTTGGTGTTGCCGCTTTCGGAGCGGGAGAAGAGCATGAGATGAGTGACACCGAGGGGGCCGGTCATGACGACATAATCCTTCAATCGGTTTGCTCTGCGTTCTTTCAGGCGAGCAGCAGTTCCTGGCTCCATGACCTTTCGGAAATCGGCAGCGAGTTGGCTGACGCTGGAGCCGACCTCGCCCGCGCCGATGCGGATGACCATACTCTTGGGGTCCTTGGAGCCATGATTTTCGGCAACGGTAGCGGGGTTGTTGGCACCAACATGCGTTCTCTTCTTGACTCTTTTGCGCGCCATTTTGGGCGAGTCCTGGTGTCGATTGAGTTGAGTGAAAAAAACCTCCCAGAGTCCGCTAATGGGGAAGATCTGGCTCAGCTTCTCTGTCTCTCTTCGCAGGAAATTTTTTGGCGGGGCGGAAGCGATAAGGCGAAAAAAGACAATGCACGTGCTGATAAGAGCACTGCTCCACTTAAAACATTCTGCTGGGCGCGGGATGTCATCGCGCCCACCTGCTAACTTTTGCGCCGTCAGTTCCCAACTTCACTTTTTTGCGCCGAACCGCAACGCACAGGATCTCTAACGAAAATGCCTCCTTCCAAGCGACAGAAGGTCTCGGAAAAGGGCTCCTCTGTCAATGAGTTCCGCGTCACTGACAGAGACTCGTCTCCCGCCTCATCGGTCGCCTCTCAACCCAAAGTCGAGGGTGGTGTTACTGCCGACGCTTCAGAGGAGGTCACAAAGAGCTTCAAGGATCTCGTAGGCCTCAAGACCCTCACTTATCCGCTTTGAAATACCTTGCTAACCACTTGTTAGGGAGTCGTCGACTCGCTCTGCGACGCATGCGCTAACCTCGGATACACAAAACCCACTCCCATTCAGGCACAGTCGATCCCACATGCCCTGGCGAATCGCGACATCATTGGCCTGGCCGAAACTGGTTCGGGGAAGACAGCGGCGGTTCGTACAGACCTACCTCTTTCCTTTGATTTATAAGAAATGGAGGATCCGCCCAAGGGCTCATGCCTAGTCTGGGAGTTTCTCACTGAAAACCATCTCTGGTTGATTTATCTACTGTCATCACGCGGCTACAATTAGGGAGTATGAGCGTATTCTGGCAGATATACTAACACCGGCATGTCTAGTTCGCGCTGCCGGTAATCCAGGCTCTCCTGGAAAAGCCTCAAGCATTCTTCGGTCTGGTATTGGCACCTACAAGAGAATTGGCCGCTCAGATCGGCCAGCAGTTCGAAGCTCTTGGCAGCTTGATCTCGCTCAGAACAGCAGTGATTGTGGGTGGTCTGGATATGTAAGCCTCAACAATTCCCATCCTCCCGCACGTACTTACTTTCCTAACTCTATCTAGGGTAAATCTTCCTATATCCCCCTCGTTCGTGCATGATATCTCCGCTTCTCGTCGCACGTCACAGCCCTATTTTTTCCAAGCCTACCTTACAGCGACCCTGATAGTTTTCAACTATATTTGACTTCCGATTGACAGAACAACACGCTAAATATAACTCACAGGTTGCTCAAGCCATCGCCCTTGGCAAGAAGCCACATGTCATTGTGGCAACCCCCGGAAGGCTGGTAGACCACCTGGAAAAGACAAAAGGGTTCTCCTTGCGCTCTCTCAAATACCTCGTCATGGATGAAGCCGATCGGTTGCTGGACATGGACTTCGGCCCCAGCATCGACAAGATTCTCAAGTTCATACCCCGTGAACGCCGAACGTTTCTCTTCTCCGCCACCATGAGCTCTAAGATTGAGAGCCTGCAAAGAGCCAGTCTGCGTGATCCCGTACGCGTCAGCATCAGCTCCAACAAGTACCAGACCGTCTCAACTCTCCTGCAATACTATCTCTTTATACCACACCAGCTGAAAGACACCTATCTTATCTACCTAGCCAACGAGTTCGCTGGTCAAAAACTAGTTGTCTTTACGAGGACAGTTTCCGAAACGCAAAGATTGGCCATCCTGCTCCGTACGCTAGGTTTCGGCGCTATTCCCCTCCATGGCCAACTCAACCAGACAGCCCGTCTCGGAGCCCTCAATAAGTTCCGCGCCGGAGAACGATCAATCCTAGTAGCTACTGATGTGGCTGCCCGAGGACTCGACATTCCTCTTGTAGATGTCGTCATCAACCATGATTTGGCCCAGGTACGCGCTTTCCCATTAGTTGTATGATCCACCAGATTGCTTGTTGGAGGCTGTGAACGTTTCCGTTATCCTGTCGATTGCGAGGCATGTTGGTACGAAATACCTGCCGAGCCCACTTCCTCTGCATAGTCCAGGCTTTCAGGTCTTGGCGGAAAATTGCCAATAGTATTGGGATGAGCTTGTCCACCGCACCATCAGTCCTTTATCTACTCGCAGTGGATGTGTTAAGCAACATACTTCAGCGTTTCTTTTCATGCCTTTTTACATGATATAGCTGCACTCCTTCCACGCTTACCTCTTATCACGCATGACCAATATCTAACGAACACGCAGGATTCAAAAACGCATGTGCACCGTATAGGCCGAACGGCGCGTGCTGGAAAGTCGGGCATTGCCCTCAGCCTTGTTACACAATACGACCTCGAAATATGGTTGCGTATTGAGGCTGCTCTCGGCAAAAAGCTGGACGAGTATCCCACGCAGAAGGAAGAGGTCATGGTGTTCCAAAACCGTGTCGAAGAGGCACAGAGACATGCTAGAATGGAGATGAAGAACCTAATGGAGACGAAGGGCAAGAAGGGATCTACGCTGAAGGGAAAGAGAGGCGGCGCGGGTGGCGGTGGAAAGCGGCGCCACGACGACATGGATGCCGAGGAGGGTTAATGAGTATCGGGAGACAATGGGGCGTGATACCGCTGTCTTGTGAACATACAAACAATGGTATCCGTGTACTGGAGTTGAGAATTAGAACGTCATCAAGACTTTGCTGCAAGCTTGCAGATGAGGTGAGATGGATGTTTGAGTAATTCAGTAATTGCAGAGCCAGCATCAAATGAACGGCAGGTGTAATCAACACTTAGAATGCCTAGTCAATCAAGCCTGTTGACGATGGCGAGGAAAGAATGTGCAGAGACTGGAACGAACATTCAGTCAAAGAGAAGCGCGAGGCAAGGGGTTGAGGCGGGAGTCAAGAGGTTGATTAGACAGAAAGGGGCGTAACGCTCGAGACAAGCACTAATACACAGTTCGTACAGCATTAATCAACGTTCTATATGATCTATCATCGCAGACGTTGCCTACTCAGCTCTTTTGGCCTGAACGCCTGAACCCCTTCCACAAACGAATGAGTGTTCGACCAAAACATGGGTATATGCTAGGAAAATAAGCCCACCCAACCGGCGTAATCATCTCCCGAAGATTATTGTATAACTCGGTCAATCAAAACTCATGATCAGTGACCGTCTCCCAGCGCTTTGTTGCGAACTTCCGCATCTTCTTCGGGCTCCCAGAGTTGCTAGTGCTGGCTGTGCTCTCGTTGCTAACGCGCAGCTGCTCCATCTTCTGGCCTAGATTGCTGACCCCAGTGCCTGCTTTGCGGCCGCTGAAGTCGGCTCGTTCTTGGAGCGGCTTGCGCTTAGTTGGACTTCTCGCTGCAAGTTCGCGTTTCAGAATCTCGTTTTCACGTCGAAGTCTCTCATTCTCGTCTTCGAGGTCCTCGATCAACAAGTTTTCTTTGTCATCGCCGGCGTTGTCGTCCTCTGCCAAGGTGACACCAAGACCCTTCTCGAAGAGCTCCATCTTCCGGTCCCAGTGCTCTTCTCCCTTCTCCTGTTCTGCTGCGAGTGTCGCCTTCCAGCGGGCCAGTTCCATCTCAAAGCGAGCGTCGAATTCAGCCATGCAGTCTTCACGAACTGTCTGCTCTACATCTAGCAGTCTGTCTTCCATGCTGAGAAGATGTGCCTCGGCAGATATTCTCGCCTCGCGCTCGTTATCAAGCTCGATATGGAGATTTGTTATCTCTTCTTGCATCCGAGCAATCTCCAGCGCAGCATGCTCCATAAGAACTCTGTCTCCGTTATCGGAACTTGGCGAGAAGTTGCGATGTCCCGCTGATCCGTGGCCAAAGTAGCCTCGTCGATTTTGCGGCAAATCAGGAGATCTCATTCCTGAAGATGGATGCGAGGTTGTGGGAGTATCTGCAAGCAGGGTTGACGTAATGCTTGGTATACGAGGTATTGTGACTTCTCTCGCCAGAGCGCTGTATCTGAGGATTTGTGAGGTAGCATTAACGTCACCTTGTGCGTCGGCCGTCACAATCATGACTGCTCGCTGGGCATTTCGGCGAGGCACAACTCCTGCGGAGGATGTGGCAGAGAACGAGTTGGAGAACAACAGTTCGGTCATCTTGCACTGGCGGAAAGGCATGACGGTCGGCTGGAAGATGATTGTTAGACTCACGAGATTTGGTGCAGCGCTTACAACCTGACGTACCTTGTTGCTGCTGCCCATACCACTTTGCGCCTGAAGACATTGCCCCAGATACATGAGACTTTCATTGATCTTGCCAGCCTCAGCAAGGGTTACTCCCTGGGTCTTGGCATCCCGAGCGCGCTCGCTTCCAGCAAGATCGACCACAGTTAAAGTGTTGCCAACCCAGGCGCGACTCCGTCCAACCTTGGCCCGCTTCTTTACCTCGACGCAGAAGAAACCATGGCTACGAGAGGAGACACTGTTGCTTCCAGTTCCGGCAACTTGACGTTCGTGTAAACCAGCTTCAAGCACCATGAAAGCTTCCCTCATGTTGGTGCACACAATCTTCTTCAGGCCAGCAACGACCTTCCTGTCAGCGGAATATTCAGTCGACTTGAAGAGCAAGGGTCGTCGTCGATACTCTTTTGTAGCATTAGACTTGATAGGCGGAGTTAGAAGATCATAGATCTTATCGTTGTATACTTCGTACATGGACAGCACGACGGCATAGTCACAATCGGGGTCAGAGGACACGTTAACGGAGCTGATATCGGGAGAAGAAGGGAAAGCTGAGGGTCGCTGAAGGTTTCGTCGAGGGGTTGGTGGAGGATAATGTTCGCCCTTTGTCGGAATTTTAGCAACGTCTTTCGTTTTGGATGCAACAGTCATGGTCATGAAATGCATTTGCGCATCACCTTGGTGCTCAAGATGCTCTTCGAGCACTAGCGTCGAAAAAGCACCACGTTGCTTGCGCCGCGGGCGGTCTGGAGTTGGAGGCACTAGGCGCACATCCCCCAAGACCAACATCGACGGGGGCGAACATGGTTTCTCGCGGTGGCTAAGACGTAGGAAAGGGGTGCGAAGAAGGGAAACAGGGTCTCCTACAAGCATGGGCGTTCCTGCTCTTGATCCTCCCCCGCGGGAGGAGCCAAAGTCCGCAAACACGGTCTCGAGGAAGTACGGTGCCGAAATGATAATGGCGTCGGAAACATCGGAGGCTTGAAGGGAGCCCTCTAGGTCCGGGGAGTCGTACATATTGGAGCCAATGGATCGGAAGACAACGTCAATGGCGAGCTGGGTCATGCCTCGTGTTGAGCGCGATCCCAGAATGGTATGAGACTATGTGTAATGTCAGTCATGATGCATCTACAGATGATAGGTGACCGTCACTCTAAACTACCTTTCCAGAACCAGTGACGCCTAGAGTAGCGATGAGAGCATCGGTGCCCTGACCGCCATGGGGGGCCAAGACTCCCTCGACAAGTGAGGCGACTCCTGTGCAGTGAAAAACATCGAGCTGTGTTGCATCTTCCTCGAAGACCCTAGTGAAGGCGAACTTTTCCGTTGAACGTTTCCGATCGTTTGGTGGATTCATAGTGATGTGAGTGGGATGGGAGTCTTCATCGCACTCTTCGACGTCCAAAAATCGATCAGACTGAGCCGCGCCGGCAGGGGGCGGTCGCAACCGCAGATAGACCTGGAATAGGTTGGCGGACTTTTGCGAAGACGAGGAATCCATGATTGAAATATGTGTTGATATCTCGCAGATAGAAGGATTTGAGTGTTCGCGACGGTTACTGTCGAGCGAGGCACGTCAATCGCGTTGATGATGCTACCCTTGGTCGAAGTTGACAGAGCTGGGTCCGGGGCGCGAATGTTGAAATGGCCAAAGAGACTCAATCCTTGTTTACTGCGATGGCCAGGCAACCGACGATAAGATAAGCGATGGTTTTGTTGTCCCGATTAGATAAGTGAAAGGAAGAGGGACGTGCTATCCCTGGTAGTACCTACCAATCTTGACCCCGCCACACGGTCTTGAGTGGGGCTTGTTCCCGGCGGGGGATCGAGTTATGGTGTGGCGCCAGCTCCGACCGAAGGGGAACAAAAACGCAGTGCATGTTGCCTACGGCCCGACTGGTCAGGCAATCCGGTGCCTTTGTTCCTGAGTATGGCAGATCATCCCTCCCATCTTGTTTTTGAGTCAGACCGCAGCAAGGCCGTCGTAGAGTCACGGCAAGATGAGACCAAAGTATAGGTATTGTGGAAGGTATGTTTGACCAAAGACACCTTTCTGCTGTTTGTCTTTGAAAGAAAAAAAAAAAGGTGCGGGAGGTCCGCCAGCTCTGGACCCGGGGGATCCCCCCCCCTTTTTCCCTGAGTTCCAGTCCTGGGTCGACCAACACACTCTACAGTGCTACATTATAGCTCATCTAGCCTACCTGCCTCTTGGTCAAAGTTTTGCTAAGGCTCGAAGTCAAATGGTTGAGGTCTGGCGCAGGCATCACCCAGCTTAACAACCCCTCATATTCCGTCTGTGAGTCATGAACAGCAAGAAGCCATACGACTGGGACCACTGCCATCCAAGGCTCCTCGCAGTTCCCCGCATGGCTGGTAGACGGCCAGCGCCGAGCATCAGTGCGAGCGAGTGTGGCCCCGCTCGTCGGAGCTTGGAGAAGAAGAAAAAAGAAGAAAAAAAAGACAAGAAAAATTGACTTCCCTCTTTCCTTACGTGGCTCACAATGGGTGGCTACATTAGAGGATGATTGGTTCTAGATTCAGTTACATAACAGATCAGTCGACAATATACGGATACACGGGGGGGCCAAGGGGCTGTCTGCTAAGAGGCAGAAGAATGATGATCTGGACCTCGATTGCCCATCGACCCTTGAAATCCTTGCCTCTCATGAAAACGGTCGTGGAAGCCGAGGCGTATCAGCAGACGTCACCCACTAATTCTGCATCTGCAAGGCGAACAGTGGGCCTAGTGTGTAGAAACAGCCCAATGTGGGTGAGGAATGTCACCATGCAAAGAGTCAGACTGAGAACCTCGATGTTATGGGATTCTGATCCACAATGTCTGGTGTATAGTAAGAGTGAATTTGTGCCGGCCGGCCACATGCTGCAGCTCTTGCTCCTGCTGTTTTCTGTTGTTGACACTGTTATGACTGATGAGGTATCAACAGGAGGGGACGGTGAGATGACCAGTTCACTTTCCAGCTCTGGCTAATAGTTGGTGGTTGATGATGTCCTGGGTCGTCAAGGCTAATGCTACGGGGCCATGAGGAAAAAGCCGGGCGTTAAAATCCGCCACGATGAGAGACATAATCAGCCTATACCCATGTCGGTCTGGACCAGCTTGACAGATGACGACAGGTGGAGGAGGGGTGGCTTTTTGCTGCTGCCCTGGCCTGGTTGAAGACATCCACGGACACTAACTAGATAGATATTGGAGGTAACGGGGCAGGCACGCAGGGTGAGGTGACACAACCGGAAGGAGGGGCAGAGGTGGTTTGAGCTCGATTTGAAGGAGAGGGGACGACGAGTTGCAGACGCCAGGCTTTACCCCTCAGGGCCCTTTCCTCCGCAGTTTAGTGATCTGATCCACTAATGACGGTGCGTCTCCAGCAGATTTTCAGCATCTGCAGGGCATTCGTCGGAGGCGTCAGGGGAACAAATCGTGAAATGGCGGTGACGGCACTCTGAAAGCGGTTAGGTTGGCTCGCTACCCACTTTAAGCGAACCAGACAATGCCAGGTTCCCACACCTGAAAACCCCACCGAACGGGGATTTCAAGAAGCAAAAAAGGGAAAAAGAAAAAAAAAAGTTAGGCAAGCATGAAGGGTAAAAGAGAGAGACAGAAAGGGAAGGGAAAAAAAAAAAAAAAAAAAAAAAGGGCGATTGAGTGTGGAGCACCGTACCGAGACGTAAGAACGGAGCGGCAACTGGGGTGCCATTTTATTTTCAGAATCCCGGTGCCTGTCCCCTTCCCTTCCTTTTTTTCTCTCTTTCCCATCTCAACCACCATCAGCCCAAATCCAAATTCCACGAGACAACGAAGTCGCCCTACACCTTTTGAAAGGAGCACCCCTAGAACTTGATACTACACTTCGTCGAGAATCATGTCCGCCGCTTTCGCTGAGCTGTAAACGCCCACTGTGGGGGTGCCTGCGCTGGGCACCTCTGCAGTCCAGCAGCCATCGAGACATTCAATCCCTTCTCTTATTTTCGACGAAGTTCAACCCAGGCTTTCACTGTCCGGTGCCCTCCAACGGGACGGCTCTGGCCCATTGACGGAAGTCTGCATCTGATTTCACCCAAATCGACCACCAAGCCCACTATTCACCGGGCTACGAGAGGCCTATCCGCTGGAAGAAAATATCTTCACATCCACCTCTCCCGACCTCCACGACTTCCACCTCGGCTACTCTAGCCACCTCTCTACCTCTTTCCGTCCTCAACACCTTGAAGACAATACAATACATACGTCGCGCATTATAGCATTGGGCAGAAAGCAAAAGAATTACACCTACGCCATAGCCATTACCCATTGGGCATACATACAGTAACCGACCACGCCCTTCATTTACATACGACTCCCCCACGCCCTTTAAATACCACCACCGTCTCCCTTCGCAACTACTACAATGTCTCGCAACATTCGCAACAAGTCCTCTGTGGGTTGCCGCAAGGCTACGAAGCGTCGCGACTCCATCACGTCCTCCTCGTCCTTTGACCTGTCTGACGACGGAGGCTACTCTGCAGTCGAAGACATCAGCGATTCTTCCGACGATGATGAGGAGGATGTCGATGCGGCCGAGGAGGAGCATATTCTGCACGAGGTGCTACCCCCCTCTAATAATATACCGAGCCCCCCTCGGCCGCCCGTTGTCCAAGATGACGATGAAGAAGAAGACGATCAGGAACAGGATGAAGATGAGGAAGACGGCGCTGCCGATGTTGAGGACAGCGCAAGTTGGGACGGCATCATGTCCGAGATCGATGAAAGTGCGGCTTCTGACCACCATCAACGGTCAGTCGAACGGCACGTTCGCTTTGATGTCCCCTCGAGTGATTCCGACTCCACCGACACCGAGGACGATCATGCCGACTTCTTCCCCGACATATTTGTTGACCAAAGCTCTCTCGACCCGGCCTTCCGCCGCGAGATCGAAAATGATGATGAAAATGACGAGTCTGAAAACTCAAACTCGTTCTGGGACTACCACGGCGACTACCATGGAGCCTATGGATACGCTCCTGACGCCGAATCAGATGTTGAGGCCCTGGTTCAGGAGCTCGGCGACGATGACACACCCATTGCTACTCCTATGGCAGCCGGCGAAGTCTCTGAGATGCCCACTCCGGTCGCAGCTTTTGAGGAAACCCAAGAGCTAGACGGCTATGAGAGTGAGTTTCTGCTTTGTGACGAGGACTGAAGAATTTGTGATTGCTGACACCTGCCGATTAGCTGATGGTGATACAACTGAAGAAGATGAACCGGAACCCGTTGTCCGCCGCAAGATTAAGCGCCCTGAACCGCCCGCTAACCAGTGGGACGATTCTGATACGGATCTCCCGGTCAAGGGCGAAAGAGGTCGGCCGCGTGTCGGCCGCTTCAACCTAGACAACTCTGAGCGAAAGCCCATTGCTGTCGTCAACCCCATATCCCGCAAGATGATGATATTCACTCCCCACCGTCGCCGCCAGCTTGATCTGTCGCCTGAGCAGTTCAACTTCCAATATCTGCCTCCCATTGACGAGAACCAGAACTCTCCCATGCTCAGTAGCTCTGCCCAGATCATGATGAGCGCCATGTTCTCGTCCAACACGTTTGGTGATTACCTCAACACACAAGCCATGGGGCCTGCCGAAGCCTTTTTCCCCTTCCCCTCGGAACCCAATACTGCCGATGAGAGCTCAGACGTGGGTTTCGATGAGGAGGAGGGAGATGACGAGGTGGAGAAGAGCCTCAACATCAGCGACTTCATCGAGTTCGACGAAAACCATTCCTCTGGCGATGAGGACGAAGAAAACCAGTGGGATGGCGACCCCCTGGGTTCTACCCCTGTCCGTCCACGTACCTCGAGCGATGTGGACTTACATTCTCATATCAACGCCAATAACGTGGGGGCTTTCCGTCGCGACCAAATCAACCAGCGACTCATCCTGAGCGATAAAGCCACACAGGACTCTCTTGCCCTCAGTAGTCCTTACAACTACACTGCCCTGCGTGGCCTCAAGTCGGACCGCTTCGAGACGGCAGCCGTTCCCTTGACACCTCTCCGGCGGTCCAAAAAGCAGATGCGCGACCTCGCTCGCAGCCCCCTCGAGTCAATGTCCCAAAAACGCAAAGCATCCAGCGAGATACCCATTGGCCATAAGCGCCAACGCAGCATCTCGGACGTCAACTTGCTGCATCTCTAATGTGGTGGTGTAGCCTTTTGTTTATCCGATGTGTACGACACAAAACGTTTGAGGATGGCGTGGCAATGCTGCCCCCAAAGCAAAGGGCACTTGTCATCCCTGGCCTCATACCGGGCTCTGACTGGCTTTTTTTATTTTCTTATGTTACACGAGTTCTTACTCGGGCCCGTCAAATCGAGGGGAATGACGGTAGACAAAACCACCATAGCTACGGATACTTGGCTAACACCAGTGTCAGGAGGGTAGCCCGGAGAATAGCGGCAGCCCCATGCGGCCAACTGATTTTGCAATTGTTGGAGAAACCCCCCTCAGGCACCAAGATGACTGACTTGAGGTAGTCGACAATCTTTGTCTCGTAGTTTCGTATCAATGAAAAGCATGAAATTCAATGATGTCGACTTGTCACTCTGCCGATCAAGTTGCTTGTGTTCTTTGTGCTCGTGGCCGGCATCGTGGTGCCGGTCAACAATTTATGGAAGAAGTTACGTTGCAATAGCACTCGCCTCGACAGAAGGCCAAGATAGCCATGGTCCGCTGCTACACTCAAGAATCATATATACAAAGGGACGTTTGGCCACTTTCAAGACTAGTGTAGTATGCTATGGACTCGTCATTGCTACGGCCCTGTCCGCCGTACTACCTCTTTGGCCACTCCCTTCATCTAGTTGAAGTCTCCAGAAACAACATTCAGCTGTAAGTGGCAATAGCATCATTGAAAGCTGTTTCAATCCTGCCCACCAGAGTCTCAGCAGCACCCTTTAGTGACTCGGGGACTTTCTCAACAACTGTCGCGCTGAACTTGTCAGTCGCGCTCTCCTCCTGCTTGAGATTCAGCAAGATAATGGGGCTCAGCAAGAGCTTGTCGAACTTTGGCTTCGCGTCAACGACATTGCCGAGTGTGGTCTCGACGCCGCCAGCAAGGTTTTGTGTCGACTGCGCGACAGTAATGGTTTCGATGGTATTTAGCGGCGCCGAGTCCTGAGCGATAGTAGTGGCTTTATTGATCTTGATAAGGAGCTTGGCTGATTGGACGAGTATGGGTAGCGTGCCAAAAAGCCCGCCATCCCAGGAGGCGACAGTTTCGCCCAACTCCGTGTTTGATGTGGCGATCTCGTTCATAGCGGCCACGATGGCGGCGCCGTCGGCGAGGACGGAGGCGGCGAAGAGACCGAGGAGGGAGAGGTTCAGGAGCATTGCAGCGAGTAGTGTCTTTCTAGATGAATTTGGATGTTGGTCGATTTACCGAGGTACTGAATCAGGGCCAGAATGTCGAAGTGCTAAGAAACACGGATTCTTCTCGTCAAATACGGCTGTTCCAATGGCCCTTTATACTGTCCTTGAACGTCTCGCATGCCATCGTCACATTCACTCGCATTAGCTTTCTCACTACTACGAAGCATCCGCCTGTCATAACATCATAGTACTTAGCAAACTTTCATCGAATACATTTTTCCCCGCAAGCCCATGATCCAGGTGACGTTCAACTACCACACTCAGACATAGCCGACGTGTGATCGCGCCGTTGCGATCCCGGAATCCTCGAATCATCCCATGCCCTCGGCCGAAACTCCTATCTAGTTCTCACGAAAGAAACCACGAAGCACCGCGAACACATGCTCCCCAAGGGCTCCCCGACCTCTTCGAGCCGAGGAGCGCAAGGATATTACCCCGGATTTCTACTGTCGTCCCCCAACTTCCCCCTGCTCACCTCGCCGATCAGCCCTCAACCCCTCATGCAGTGTGCCTGCCAATGTGACGGCCCGACGCTATTCGAGGTGCGCGGATGGCAACTATTGGACCGCCCGTAGCAGGCCAACACTGGCGTAATGTCACTGTTCGCCCGGACTGCATATATTGATGCAGGGATGAGGTGCGGTTGGTGCGCGGTGGCAGCCATTTAGCCTTTTCGAGAATGGGCCAATGGTTCCTCCGAGCTTTAACCTCGTCGGGTAAGGATGGGTTTCAGCCTCGGAGGTTGCGATGGCAGTTCTATCATCTTTTGGCGTCTCACGAGCAACGTTGTGTGCCGAGGCTTAGAGTTCTCTTTCCCATATGGCTTGTGGAACCAGGTCAGAGTATACCGCACGATATATTGGCATCAAGGTGGATAGCAATTGATCATTTTCACTACTCACCTAATGTCTGACAGGCCGGCTTCTGAATCTGCTCTTATTAGCGTCTCTTTTATTATGGCTACTTCACTTACACCAGTGACAGAGCAGCCCACAAATAGATCGTGTGTAGTACGTGCGTGCTATTCACTGAGCTATTTTACATTAGCCATTACATACATAAGATTAAGAAAGTAAATACAGTCCGTTGCGTTAGCAGCGTCTAAAACCCATTTTTTAGTCCATGCGCTCACGCCACATAAATACAGCACCCATGCAAATTTAGGTTTTTTAGGCAATAAAATATAAAATCTATATTTTAGTAACATTTAATAGTTATAATTCAAAGACATATAATAATAACAATAATGTTAGTTTTTTACTAATTAACTAATAGAATATCCTAAGTTTATAGTATTATAAAGTATAGAAAAGTATAGTTAATTAGTAGTTATTAATAGTTAACTAGTTAATAAGGTAAAGTAAGAGTATAAGTGTAGTAGTACCCTTGTGTATAGGCAAAAGTAAAGAATTCTACTAGTAGGCAGTATATTATATAACCTACTGCCTCTAGCTATATTACCTATATACTAACACTAGTAACTTTCTTATATAGTAAAAGTTACTAATACTTTTATTTTTTCTAAAAAGCCTAAAAATATAATAAAAATAAAAAAAGTAAAAATATTATACCTTTTATAGTTATATACTACTATAAATTTATTTATTTATTTACTTAGTAAAAGTAGGCTTATACTATCTTATTTAGGTATATTTTTTTTTAGTTATAGCTATTAAAAGTATATACTTATATTAAATAAATTTAACTACTATTAATCTATATAGTTTATATAACTTATTTTTTTAAGTACTTATTATCTTATTTTTTATTATTTTTATTATTTTTTATTATATATATATAATTTATTTCTTTATTTATATCTTTACTTTATTATAAAAAATAAGACTCTTAAGTACTTAGTTTAAGGAGAACTTTATAAACCTATTAGTAAGGTTATTATTACTATAGATCTATTATACCTTAAAAAGCTTATATTACTTATATAATTATTATAGTACTATAATATTAATTATTAAGTACTTCTTATAAGTAGTACTTAACTTTACTAGGCACCTATGTAGTTATAATAAATTTATAGTTAATAAAAATAAAAATATAATATATTATTAATATTTAGTAATACTTCTGCTTAATTAACAGTAGAACTAGTAAAAGATATAGTAGCTATATACTCTTATAGACTAATTTATAAGGATAAGATAGACTCTAAAAGCCTCCCTTAAAGTAATAGGAATATACTAAGATTTATTAAGTATAATGTATATATATAGTAAGTAGCGCATTATAGTAAGTAGCGTATATCCACCTTATTTCTACTAGCTTTATCCTTATATTAACCTTTCTCTATATATAATAATAGAATCCTCTTCTTAAGAAAGCTAAATCATCTTTATAATTATAGCTATCTAAAAAGACTAAAATCTATCTATATAAAAGGTAGTCTTTATCTATAATATACCTAAAACTACACTTTATTATTAACACACTAGAAAAGTTATATAAGCTAAGATATATTTAAAATTAATAAAGATAACTATATCTAAAGAAAAGGTAATTCTTAAAAGGGTTATTAACCTAATTAATTAAGGATTTCTTTTATAATAAGAAGATATATAAGATATAGCTAATTAACTCTTTAATATATATAATAGGATATATATTAGACCTTAATAAGTAAAGAACTTTATATAATAATAACCTTAATTAAAAATATAATTTTAACGTTAGATTAACTATTAGAGGGCCTTAGCTAAGGATCCTATAATTATATAAGGCTAGTTTACACTTATATAAAATATAATTATAAAGTATAAGATATAGGATTATAATATCTATAATTTTAATAAGACTAGGTTCTTAATAGGAATACTATTATATATAAAGGTTATTATAACTTTTAACTAATATAGAAGGCCTTATATAAAGTAGCCTAGTAATTATAAATAGGTTTCTATTATTTAGGGTATATATATAGATAGCTAAGTAATACCTTTATATATTATTATAAAAAGTAAATATTACCTTTTATTATAGTACCTTAATAGTAAATTTCTAGCTATATAGTGTATTTACTTAAGTAAAAATAAATAAACTATAAATAAGATTAGCCTAGATTAGCTAAAGTACTTTAATTAGTATATAAAGTCTTACACAAAGGGTACTTATTACCTTCTAATCCTAGATAGCTATAATAACTATAAATTAACTAAATTTAATAACTACTATAAAGAAGAAAGTATTATTACTTTATATATACCTCCTTATTTATTATATAAGCTTTAGCCTCTTAATATTAGCTATTTTAGCCCTTTAAAGTACTTATATAGCAAGAAAATTAAGAAAATAATATAGATATAAATTATATATATTACTAAGGATAACTTTTTTTCTGCCTTTAAAGTAGTATTCTTTACTTTAATAGGTAAAATAAATATATAAGTAGGTTTTTAATAAGCTAGTCTTATACCTTTTAATCCTAAAGTTATTATTTTTTACCTAGATTTTAAGCTAAAGACACTAACACTAGTTAACTTATATCTAACTAGCTTAGGCTTATAGGACCTAAAGACACTAACAATAGTAATTAAAGGCGTATAAAGCTCTACCTTATTAAAAAAAAAGATTAAGGACTATTAAGGAAGTTTACTAACACTAATGTATAAGGTAATTAACTTATAGTTAAAGGGTATTAGTAAGTTAGTATATTAACTTACTATTATTAAGGCAGAGAACTATTAACTTTATATAAGGATAAAGGTACTTAGTAAGCGCTAAAGGGCTAAAAAGACCTAACTATGTCTTAGAGGATTACTTAATATAGCTAAAGTAAAGGCACTATAAAAAGAAAAAGACGTTATTAAAGCTAGAGGTAAGGAAATATCCTAAAAAGAAGGTTATATAGAGAGTAGTAAACTACTTGTATAATAATATAGTAATTATAGGAAGACTAGATATAACGTATAAACCTATAAGGTAGTTTAGGATACTAATAAAGAATAAGGTAATATATATTTTTAATTAATTTTGTATAATCTAGTTAAATTAAGTTATTAAAAAGATAAAAAGGTAGGTAGATATATACTACTTACTATAATGCACTACTTACTATATATATATATTATATATATTTTTTTTATTTTTAATCTCTCTTTTTATTTTATATTTCTTTTTTCTAATTATAAGTATATAAAATAGATTATTTAACTTATAAGATAATTTATAGATCTAAAATAAGCTAATATAGATAATTAATAGTAGTCTTACTAAGCTAATAAGTAAAGTAAAAGCACTAGTTAAATAAAGCTAGTAAATATTTTACCTAAGATATTTATAAAAAAAAGTAGTATTTTTAAGAATAAGCCTATAAAAGGTTATATAGTATAATAATAGTAGTTATATATAAATAATATTTTATAGTTATAGTATATACTAAATAAAGAGCTAAAAGTTACTTAATTTACTAGTTTAAATATTAGTATATACTTTTATTATTAAGATATTAACTTTTCTATTTCTTTAAGAAGTCTATAAAGGACTATAATACTTATTAAATTATTTATAGTAGTTAATTTATAGACCTAATTTACTATAGTTAACCCTTTAATCCCTTTAGATAAAAGTAAAAGGTCTTTATTATCTAAAGGTAAAAATATAAATATCTTTAGTAAGGCTAGCTTTAGTAATATATAACTATAAGCTTTTCTTAAGAAAAATAATAATATAGAAAAAATAATAAATATACTATTATTATAAGGACTTTTTTTATAACCTTAATAAACTTTCTAAAGTAACTTATAACTATATAAGACTATTTATAAATAGCTTAACTCCTTAGTAAGTAACTAATAATTATTTAGATAACCCCCTTTTTAGCTAGGGCACCTAAATTTAAAGAAGATAATATTTTAGACTTCTTTAAGAAGTTTAATAACCTTTTAGCCTTTATATATAAGAAGTTATTTAAGAGGATTTAAGAGGTCTATATATACTTTATCTTTAACTATTTAAAGGTAATATAGTTAATTACTTAAGACTAGACTTCTTAGATAACTATAAAGAATAAGTTAATA